GAAGAGTAGAAGCATAACAAAGAGATCCAAAAACCTTTAAATTGGTAAGAATGGGGGGTTTGTGGTATAGAAGTTCAAAAGGAGATTTATTGTCAATAACAGAACTAGGAAGCCTATTGATTAAGTAAACTGCGTGAAGAACACAGTCACTCCAAAATCGAAGCGGAACACCAGATTGGAAACAGAGTGCTCGAGCTACATTGAGGATATGCTGGTGCTTCCTCTCTACTCGAGCATTCAGCTCAGGAGTTTCTACACAGGACTGTTGATGAATGATGCCTTTATCAGCATAGAACTCTGCTAGGTGAAACTCAGATCCTTGATCACTACGAATGATCTTAACTGACTTAGAATACTGCTTGTCAACCATAGTACAGAAGCTTTGCAACAAGTAACCAGCTTCTGATTTAAACTTCATTAGAAACACCCAGACAGCTCTAGAATAGTCATCAACAACAGTAAGAAAGTAGGAATAGCCTTCATGAGACTTAGTTGCCAATGGTCCCCAAATGTCTACATGTATCAAATCAAAAACAGCAGCTGCTCTACTACTGCTAACAGGGAAAGAAAGTCTTTTGTGCTTAGCAAAATGACATGTTTGACAATGAGAAACTACATTCCTATCACTAGGTAATATCTGCTTCTCTTTCTCTTTGCCAGGATGTCCTAAACGCCAGTGCAAAGGTTGATGTTTTGTGGTTGAAAGTTGTAAGAAAGGGCTGCTTGTGGTGTAGGTAGTAGTGGTCCTTTGGTCTTGGTGTGTAGTTGGTATAATCCATTACTCTGGCTTGCCAAACCAGTCCTATTTTGGGTCACCAGGTCCTGAATTTGACAAGAATCGGACTCAAAATGTAAGGATATGGGTTGGTCATGTGTCAATTTACTCACTGAGATCAGGTTGACTGTGAAACTAGGCACTAATAGGACGTGTTCTAGAGACAAATATGGAGACAATTGGACTTTTCCTACATGACTAACCAACACCCTAGTACCATTAGGCAAGTAGACAAACTGATCTCTCACTGGAGTGGACTCAGCAAACAAATCAATATGGCAAGCAATGTGGTCTGAAGCACCAGTATCCAAGACCCAGGAATGAGATAGGGATTCTGACTTATGCTGCATAAAGGAGGATAGAATAAATTTACCAGCATAAGTAGGGAAAGGAGATGTGCTATTAGCCACAGAGAAAGCCAAATGGTTAATTGGTGATGAAGCTGGATATGAAGGTCCAGATGAGGGGACTGTTTGCAGCAAGTATCTGAGCTTTTGGAGCTCCTCAGAGGAGAAACTGAAGCTTTCTTTAGAAGATACACTTCTGGATTCACTGCTCAACTTTGACTATGAGTTGGCTGTGTCACTTTCAGTTGAAGATTCTCCCTGAGTTACTACTGCAGCAACTCCTCTAGCCATTCTCAGCTTCTTGTTCTTCAAACGATAACATTCTTCTTTGACATGTCCTTCCTTCTTACAATAGCGACAAAAAATTTTCCCATCTGGAGAATCTCCTTGCACTTCAAGGGCAACTGTCTGCACACCTCTGGTGATTCCCTTGTCTGCTTTCAGCTTCTGTTCATGCTGTAAAACATCATTAATAGCAACTTCCACAATAGGGAGTGGCTTCATCATGAGAATCTGAGTATGAACGACATCAAATTCAGGTCTCAAGCCTTTCAAAAATCGAATCAGATAGTCAGTCTCCTATTTCTGCTTGAAGGCCTCAACTGAGTTCATTGTGGGGCACAATTGCAATCCACAATTGGATGATACTGGAGATATTCTTCCCACAAACCCTTTAGGGCTGTGTAGTACTGAGTAACACTCTGGGTTCCCTGTTTGCAAGCAATGATTTGATCCTCCATGTTCGACAATTTAATGGCATTAGTAAAACCAAAACGAGCCTTAAGCTGTTCCCATAAGGTTCGAGCCACCTCGTGCTGCATCACACTTCGTTGAATTTCCTTCTCCACAGAGTTCAATATCCAGCACAAAACCAGAGTATTACAAGCATCCCAAGTACTGTAAGTTAGATCGCCTATAGTAGGCATAGCAATTGAGCCATCTATGAACCCAATTTTGTGCTTCATCTTCAGAGCCATTCGGACAGCTCGTTGCCACATCTGGTAATTTGTACCATCCAAAACTTCCGAGACAATAGATTGCGAGATATTTTCGTTTGGATTGATATAGAAGGGATTACCAAATTGCAGATCTGTGCGCTCATTGTTGTTAGATCCATTCGTCGCTCCTGAACTCGCACCACCGAAACTGCCAAATGGAATACCTCCCGGAGGAGTATTCGGCAGCGGGATGTTGTGTGGTGGTGTCGACGCCATTGCAGGTTACTGGAACAGCAACCGGCTCTGATACCATTTCAGATTAGCTCGGGCTAGGGTTTAAGCGGAAGAAAGAGACGCGACGAAATGGGAAATGCGCAGAAGAGCGAGGGATCTCTCTGGCTTTCATTTTATACCTCAAGGAAGAACAGTCTGCTTTACGCTACTAAACATTGAAAACGGAAATTTAAAACTGAAATACAAATTGAATGTAAATGTAAAGCCACTTGGCACAATCTGATTTGTCATAACTGGTTCCACCCAACGGTAAGTTCCAGAACTCCACAACGTCGTCGTATTGCTCCTTCGCTTGAGTTGGATGGAAGGGAACCCAGAAACGTTTCCGTTTCTGGGTGAGGTTTCTTCTTCACTTGTTAAGAACACTCTGCACTTCTTCACTTCTACTGCAGAGCTTCATCTTCATCTTCTTCACTTAATAAGAACCGGAGCTGAAAGTTTCTGCAACCTTCAAAGATCGCCTCTGCCAACCATGGAAGAAGACGCTCGTGGTTCGCTTGTTGGTACAGTCAGTATCCTACTCTTATATGTGTTCCCAACTCATATGGAAGTGGAGACTCGTGGCAGCCATGGGCATAATGGATCTTAACAACAACACATTCTTGGTCACTTTTACAAATGACCAGGACTATCTTAGGGCCTTAACAGGAGATCCCTGGGTAGAGGCTTTTTAGTATGCTATATAAAATGGGTGCTTTACTATGCTTATAGCCATTAGATTTTGTTAAATATAGTGAGCCGTTAGATCTTGTTAAATATAGTGAGCCATTGGATCTTGTTCGATTAATTATTTTTTTATTTTATTCTAGTATTGGCTACCTGTTGCACCAGTTGACAAGTTAATAATAATTAAAAAATTATATTAGAAGCTTCAGTGACTTCTCCGTTCCAATTTTCTTCGACGACTTCTATTCAAAAAAATAGATCGACGGCGAGTGCGACGCTGGGTAAAGGAAGAAATAAGGTTTCGTGGCATCTCCAGTCGATATAGAAGGGGGTGAGCAGGTCGACGGTGAACCAAATTCTGAAATAGGGTTTTTGCGGTGTCTCCTCTCCCATGATTGTGCTTCGTCGCCTCTTTGTTGTGCCACCGGCGCGAACACAATGGTGGCGTTTGCTCGTCGATTGTGAAGGTGGCGACAGCGATGGCGAATTGGATCTTCAAATAGGTTGACGACGACACTGTAACTAGGGACTGAGCAGGGATTCATTGGGTCTTCAATTGGTTGCAGCTTTGCTGTGTTTCTTCCTTCAAGCTTTCAGGTAATAAAGATGATCCTCAGATTCTGAATGTTTCTCCATTTCTCACTTCAAATCCTTCTTCTTTCACTTGCTACTTCTTTCTTATCGTCTGACTAAAAGAACCCCAAACTCGGCCCTCATTTGTAGAGACAACTATTCCTTCTTTTTCATCATTTTAGCTCACTATAAGTTTCAATTATGATTGTTCTTATATAATGCTTCTGGGTTTCATGGAAAGTGTATGAAATGTGATGACTTGGAGATCATCATTAGGGAATTGAAGATTGTCTGTGAGTGTATCGTCAATTGGGTTTGTTTGTTTTTGTTTTGCTGCATTGATCATTACCATGGACATTCATAACCTTAAACGATGTTGCTACTTCTGTCTAGTTGATAATCCAATCGATTTGTAGTCTTGTATTAGGATTGCAGGTGTCGCAAAAAGACTAGAAATGCAGGTTGTGTTCAATCCTGTACTATCTGGTTTTGTGTTCAATCTTGTACTATCTGGTTATCACTCTCAATGAAATTAAATCCTCTTCTATTGTAGATAATGACTCGTAGATTGCATGTCAATAGTCTTGGATTAGTGTAGCTGATACTCTCTGCAAAAACTGTTGGTCTATGGTGTTCATGGCATCTTGTATGCCCTCTGGTTTGTGGGGTGATGAAATTGCTTACTAAGACAAAAAGGAAAGAAAGAAAACAAAAAACTCAAACAGAGCATAATAGAGAGATAGTAGAGGTAAAGCAAAGACATGTTAATCTCGAAAACTAAAACAGACCACGGTTTATTACAGTTGCAAAAGACATAGTGACATATATGAACATATTTTGATATTAGGGGTTGTTTGGATGGGTTATTCAAACGAGTTATTTCGGTTGGAATAACTCAGAATGAGTTATTCTGGCCGAAATAACTCGTTTGGATGGAAAATAATGATATGCGTTATTTGATCATGAGTTATTTATAAATAAATAATAAATGCGGTATTTAGAATACCACATGCGGAGGAGTTATTCACAAATAATGGGTTTTGAGGGCTTTTTTATTCCAATCTTGTCCCTGCTTATTTTTTGTAAACCCCACTTTGTCCTTCTTGCATCATATCGAGACAGACTAACCATTTGCTTCTTCCTTCTTCTCATTCTGCTTGCTCCCGTCTCTCTCTCCTGGCGAACAGCTCACGAGTGAACAGAACAATCGCCTGCGGCATCGGCCTGCTATTAGCACAAGGAAGCTGCCGGAGTTAGCGGATCGTCTGCTAGGGTCGGTGAGTGAATATTCTTCTCTATTTCTTGTATCGTGTTCCTCTCCCTCTCTTGCCATGTTCCACATTAGTATTTTCCGATTTAGGGTTAGAGAAGGGTTATAAATACAAGGGTTCATCTGATATCCTATATCTATGGAGTTTGCGTACATTCAATCTGAAACAAAATCAAAACATAAATGACAAGACATACCGCAATGAATATGTCCCAAACTGCCTTGTCTGCATTTATACATTCTTGCACCGGATCCCAACCAAATCCGCTAAGCCCACGCATCATGACGGTCGAATGAAACCAGTGTTTCAGCTTCTTGTACCTATTCTGAATCGTACGCTTTGCTTTTAGACCACATTCGGGCACTTTCTTCTCCATCATCTTTTGTATCTGCTTAAACACACCGTTCTTGCAAGTTCCATTGGTGATGAATCCACTCTCTGTCAGCTCCAGCAAACATTCCAGGAAGGGACCATCATGAGCTGTATCACAGAAGTTGTATTTTGCTTTGGAGGCATCTCCCGTCTCCCCAACAACTTTCTTTCTCCTCCCCATACCTGAAAACATTCATACATGACATGGCATTTCTCAATGGCAGAATATAAACATGATACTCATTTACACTAGTAATAGCACACAAAAGTGAGATAAACATGGCATAAGATAAACAGTTTGGCAATTTAAACAACATTACAAACCATGTTCTCGAGACATTTGTCCTACATTACATATTAATAAACTGACAAAAGGGACAACTTGGTAGCATTCAATGTTTCTTCTACCATATCTACCAAACAAACCATAAAGTTCAGCACCCTATTGCTCTGCCAGCAAGTGTTCTTACACTAGAAAAAACATGGAAAATTACAAAAGGGACCAAAACAAATCATAACATGTCTATCTATTTGCCCACATAGTAGTGGCCTTTTCATTGCGAAACTGGGTCCATTGTGCGCACGGTTGCATGCTAGTACCATCAATGGTCTCCACATCAATTGAAGGAATATGTTCGGGCTCTTCGTCCTGGTAATTTCTTTCAATCTCATCAACTCCATATTCATTCTTGATAAAATTATGTATTATACAGCAAGCTATAACTATTCGGGACACTTGCTCTGGAGTGAAACATGTTGCATTTCTCAAAATGGCAAATCTCATCTTCAGAACTCCGAAAATGCGCTCGATTACATTCCTAGCATATGAATGTTTCATGATGTAATACTCTTCAGCTGTTTCAGGTTGTCTGTTACCCCAATCTTTGAGATGGTATCTTTGACCCCTATATGGGGTCAAAAATCCAAGGCTGTTCGCATACCCGACATCACACAGATAGTAATTTTCTTCATTCAAAAGTATATACAGATTCAGTTATGCTATTCATTGAACAATATCATATGTAAGTTCCATTGAATTATATTCAAAATGTTGTACCTTCAGGCACAACAAGGCCATTTGGTCTAGTGAGAGCATCTCTAAGCACCCTACTGTCATGAGCACTACCCTCCCAACCAGCAAGACAGTATATGAATTCCAAGTTGGGAGTGCAAACACTTAGGACGTTCATAGAGATGTCACCCTTCCTATCTCGGTATCTAGGTTTGTCCTCAGTCAATGGACGAACATCAATATGGGTTCCATCTAGGGCTCCTAGGAACTTCTATTAACAGAAACAATTAGGTGTTAAAGTATAGTGTTGTTAAACATAGCAAAGTTGAATAAAAAGATTGAAAAGGCATAAAAATTGACCTTAAAATGCTTCCACCTACTGTTGGTACAGTTGTTAGGAATAGGAACCGGCTTCTTCATCAGCAGATTGTTCAATCTAATAACAGCTTTCAGCACACGATGAATTGATTGAGATATAGTCTCACTAGATCGTCGCAAATTCAATTGCAAAGTCCAATTCTTCTCGTCATGTGAAATGGTACGAAGAAAGGTATAAACCATCTCATCAATGTCTACGTTCCTAGTTTTCTTCAACCCTCCTTCTACAATAAGAACCTCACAAAACCTTCTAAATAATGTACGATTCATCCTGACTTGGTCAAAGGTATAGGTGTCACTTAGTCTGGTTGTGTTTCTAAGGTGCCTTTGCCTATCATAGTGCATATCCAAGTAGCTATCCAATGGTTTCCTAGCAAGTCGAGGTATAGATTGAAGTTTCTCTAAGATTTTAGCCAATTCCATCCCTAGACTCACATATATCACAATCAGATTCATGAAAGTGCTAATTGCAGCAACCACTTGTCACCTACGCGTCGGATTCAATGCGGACAAACGTGACATCCCTTACAAAACAGGAAATTTTGAATTAGTGATTTACATGATAACGCTCTCTTTTATGGAACGTCTTACTAAGCTTCCCAATGGTTTGCATTAAAAATAAAATGTGTTCCCAAAACCAGATTGAAAAGACCGAGCCATTTCATGAACATTGTAGAAAAGCACCCAAAACCAAATTGAAAGGGAAGCTTGTGATGAACAAAGTAAGTGCCCCAAGAAACAACAACATACAAATAAATCGACATCACAAATGGTTCCATAACAGCAGACCAAGCGAGTTGCCAAGAAAAACCCTCGACCGAAGCCGAGAAGGAGAGTGCATCACAACACATAAAAATGAACGAACAGAATAATCAGGAGAACAATACCCTTTTATTTTGTTTCAGATTGAATGTACGCAAACTCCATAGGTATAGGATATTAGATGAACCCTTGTATTTATAACCCTTCTCTAACCCTAAATCAGAAAATACTAATGTGGAACATGGCAAGAGAGGGAGAGCAACACGATACGAGAAATAGAGAAGAAGATTCACTCACCGACCCTAGCAGACGATCCGCTAACTCCGACAGCTTCCTTGTGCTAATAGCAGGTCGATGTCGCCGGCGATTGTTCTGTTCACTCGTGAGATGTTCGCCAGGAGAGAGAGACGGGAGCAAGCAGAATGAGAAGAAGGAAGAAGCAAATGGTTAGTCTGTCTCGATATGATGCAAGAAGGACAAAGTGGGGTTTACAAAAATTAACAAGGGACAAGATTGGAATAAAAAAGCCCTCAAAACCCATTATTTGTGAATAACTCCTCCCCATGTGGTATTCTAAATACCGCATTTATTAGTTATTTATAAATAACTCATGATCACATAACGCATTTCATTATTTTCCATCCAAATGAGTTATTCCGGCCGAAATAACTCGTTTGAATACCCCATCCAAACGACCCCTTAAGCTATTTACCAGGTACCTCCAATATAGAAGTATTTCGGCTTCAGTTTCATCAAAGAGTGTCTTCAACAAGACACATAGGCATGACGAAGGGGAACAAGTTTCTACTTTCTTTTGTTTGATTTGTTTTCGAGATTTATGTTCAGGTGTATCTTTTTTCAGTTGTTTCTAGCCATTTGGAATCCAACAGACCAACACCATGTTTTTTTAATAGAAAACCATGTCTTTTCTGGGTGTTAGCAACTTGAAGCATCTAAGAGAATATCATATAGACATGAATGATAGAGATTGAAATGAGCTCTTTTTTAGCAATGTTAAATGGTGCTACCATATTGGTGATGGGGAGATGGTTAGATGTTTCTATGAGGCATTATTTTAAAATTTTCCAACTGCACTCATTCTAAACTAGCTGTCGTCCTTTCACGAACCAGTAGTAAAATCAATTTCGGCTATACTTTATGAGTGTTCTTTTCACATATGAGGACGAGGATGATACAGAAGAAAAAGAAGCCAAAGAAGAACGAATGGCAAGCCCTTGAATGGCGAACATGAGTAAGGCAACAATGTGGAGTTCAATGTGAAAGGTCAAAATTCACAAACTCGAGTACTCTTTAGCCTACTACAATTTCATATTTCCCTGTTTAGAGATTATTTATCTTATGTTGTGTATTTTTTGGGTTAGATTTATTTGCATTCTTTAGAGGAGGGTTTGTGCAAGGTTCAAGTATGAGTTGAGAATGGTGGGTGTTGATTCATTTGGGAAGGGTTATCTTTTGGTCTTCCTCTTACAATTTTGTTCAGTTCGTTTTGTCAATTTCACCAACTGCAATTTGTTCATGTTACCCATGTCCCTTTTACGATATAGCTTGCGACTAGAAATGGATTTGGATCTTACCTCTTCGCATCCTCTCACATGGTTTAGTTCTGTAGATGATCATATCCTGTTTATGTTGTCAGTTAGTGTCCATTCTTCTCCCTTTGTAAGTTCTTATGTATAAAAGTCTTCCTTTTTCAATTATAGTTCTTGTGCTTGCTTTGTATGTTTCAGGGTTTTGTTCTATTTTGCCTCAGTTTATAGTTTTGTTATTTGTGTTTTTGGGATTATGGTGGTTGGATGGGTTTCATACTGAATTTGAAACGATTGCAATACTCAAGATTGAAGAGTTCGCCACTTTGAACTTCTAATTTAATGATCAGTGTCAAATAGTTTGTGTTGGTTGCATATAGACTGATGTTTCCTTATGTCCTTTGCAGGCATACCGACGCACTGGGAATGATTGAGCCATCATTCTAGGATATGATGGTCAGATGATGATGAAGAGGACATACTCAATGAGACGAAGTCCAATTCTCTTGCATCAAAGAGGCAAACCAGGATACAAAACATGAGCAGCTAATGTAAAACATGATCCCCCATTCTACATTATATATCCCCTGATGCTCCCCCCATCTAATGCAAAATCTTGATGTGTATTGGGTTCCTCTAAAAACTGAGCCACAATCATCTTTGGCGTATCGATTGGGATTTCTCAAAAGCTCATAATGAAGATACTGCAACTTATGTTCATTTTCGTCTACCAGGTTGGTAATTTGGGAGTTATAGTTATAGTTATAGTTATAGTTGTGGTTTGATTTTTGATTTCTCTGAAATTATTTATGTTCAGATTCTGTGGTAACCAGTGAAATAACAATTTGGTGTCATTTTCGTCTGTCAGGTTGACAATTTGGGAGTTACAGTTGTGGTTTGGTTTGTTATTTCTCTAAAATTATTTATGTTCAGATTCTGTGGTAACCAGTGAAATTATTTACAGCTAAAATAACATAGTTTGTGAACTTCTTTAGTCTTTAGTACCAATAAACAACTCTTCTAACTTCATTGAGATGGAGATTGTTCTTAGTTTCTACTTGCTTTAAGTCTTAGGATCTATCCCGAGAGGGCAGAAAATATCATATTCCTTTCTTCATTATCATTTTTTTCACATTTTCAAATGCCCGAACTCTGGCTTGAGAAAGCTTATTCATTATTGAAATTATAGCATTGTTAGTGACTGGCCATTATGTCGTTAGAATATGTGAGTTTGAGGAAGGAGGTGTTTTATTGAAACAGAAAGGAAGAATTACACAGAGAAGTTCCAGGGAACTAACAACAAACCCTAAGAAGAAATAGATCAAAGACTTCTTCATAAACAACAGCGAAAACTGATAGACCGATAATTATATATGTTTTCACCCCTATTCTGAAGCCGTTTGTGATGAGGAATCTCGTGTTTTAAGCCGATTTCACGCTAGGTTGTGTGTTTATGTCATATTTCAGGACCCAGCGTTGGAA